TGACTGAATGTGGGATGGATCCCCAGGTGGGGCAGTCTCTGGTTGGCCTTTCCTTCAGTCTCTGCTCCACACTTTGTCTCCATATTTGCTCTCGTGAATATTTTGTTCCCCCTTCTAAGAAGGACTGAAGTATCCACACTTTGGTCTTTCTTCTTGAGCTTCATGTGGTCTGTGAATTGTATCTTGGTATTCCAACCTTTTGGGCTAATATCCACTTGTCAGTGAGTGCCTATTATGTGTGCTCTTTTATGACTGGGTTACCTCACTCAGGGTGATATTTTCTAGTTTTATCCATTTGCCTAAGAATTTCATGAATTCATTGTTATTAATAGCTGAGTAACACTCCATTGTGTAAATGTACCACATTTTTTGTATCCATTCATCTGTTGAAGGACATCTGGGTTCTTTCCAGCTTCTGGCTATTATAAATAAGGCTGCTATGAACATAGTGGAGCATATGTCCTTGTTATATGTTGGAGCATCTTTTGGGTATATGCCCAGGAGTAGTATAGCTGGGTTTTCAGGTAGAACTATTTCCAGTTTTCTGAGGAACCACCAGACTGATTTCCAGAGTGGTTGTACCAGCTTGCAACCCCACCAACAATGGAGGAGTGTTCTTCCTTCTCCACGTCCTCGCCAACATCTGCTGTCACCTGAGTTTTTGATCTTATCCATTCTGACTGGTGTGAGGTAGAATCTCAGGGTTGTTGTGACTTGCATTTCCCTGATGACTAAGGATGTTGAACATTTCTTTAGGTGCTTCTTGGCCATTCAAGTTTCCTCAGTTGAGAATTCTTTGTTTAGCTCAGTACCCCATTTTTAATAGGGTTATTTGATTCTCTGGAGTTTAACTTCTTGAGTTCTTTGTATATATTGGCTATTAGCCCTCTGTCTAATGTAGGATTGGTAAAGATCTTTTCCCAAATTATTGGTTGCTGTTTTGTCCTATTGACAGTGTCCTTTGTCTTACAGAAGCTTTGCGATGTTATGAGGTCCCATTTGTCTATTGCTGATCTCAGAGCATAAGCCATTGATGTTCTGTTCAAGAAATTTTCCCCTGTGCCCAAATATTCGAGGCTCTTCCCCACCTTCTCCTCTATTAGTTTCAGTGTATCTGGTTTTATGTGGAGGTCCTTTATCCACTTGGACTTGAGCTTTGTACAAGGAGATAAGAATAGATTGATTTGCATTCTTCTACATACTGACCTCCAGTTGAACCAGCACCATTTGTTGAAAATGCTGTCTTTTTTCCATTGGATGATTTTAGCTTCTTTGTCAAAGATGAAGTGACCATAGGTGTGTGGGTTCATTTCTGGGTCTTCAATTCTGTTCCACTGATCTTCCTGCCTGTCTCTGTATCAATTCCACACAGTTTTGTTTGGTTTGGTTTGGTTTTTTTCCCACTATTGCTCTGTAAAAAGCTAAGATCGGGGATGGTGATTCCCTCAGAAGTTCTTTTATTGTTGAGAATAGCTTTCAAGGGCTGGAGAGATGGCTCAGTGGTTAAGAGCACTGACTGCTCTTCCAGAGGTCTTGAATTCAATTCCCAGTAACCACATGGTGGCTCACAACCACACCAATGGGATCTGATGTCCTCTTCTGGTGTTTCTGGGGTTCAGTGACAGTGTACTCACATACATAAGACAAATTTTTTAAAATCTTTAAAAAAAAATAAAAAGAGAACAGTTTTCACTATCCTGGGTTTTTTGTTATTCCAAATGAATTTGCAAATTGCTCTTTCTAACTCTATGAAGAATTGAGTTAGAATGTTGATGGGGATTGCATTGCTTCTGTAGGTTGCTTTCGGCAAGATGGCCATTTTTACTATATTAACCTTGACATACACGGCGGCAAAACTCATTCACAAAAAAAGTGAAAACAAATAAATCATTTTTTAAAATCTTTGAAAAAAATAGTGAAATGAAGAATGTTATAAAGTGACTGTGAGTGAATTAATAATGACATGGTGTGGTGACAAATGGATACACAGGGTAGAACAGAATGCAAAGCTAAAGCCTAGCTGACAAATACATGTCAAAAATATATTTTGAATCAATGGCATAAAACACAGTTAGCTAATACATGATGCTGGCACAACTGACTACCATCTTGTAGAAAATGGTTCCTTATCAAAAATTCCAGATGGGGTAAATGTTTAAGTACAATAAATAAAGCATCAAAAATTAGGAGGTAAAAAACACAGTACATAGCACAATATGCTACTTAACCAGGAAAAAAAAAAAAACATATTTGAGTTCATAAAATTTAAAAACAACTATGCTTTTAAACATTTTTTACATTGCAAAAAAAACATTATAGACAAAGCTAATAGGCAAATGCTATGGGCTTGTAACCTCTAGCAGTATATGAGAGCCCCTCAATATCGGTAAGAGAAAAGCATCACAATGGGAAAATGATCAAAATTCATTAACCTAATGTATATATGCCAAAGTGTGTCTGTATCTTTGTCCCTCTGTCTGTCTGGTTGTAAAAAAACAGAGAGAAAGAAAGAAAGAAAGAAAGAAAGAAAGAAAGAAAGAAAGAAAGAAAGAAAGAAAGAAAGAAAGAAAGAAAGAAAGAAAGCAGGCAAGCAGGCACACAGACAGGGAAGGAGGGAGGGAAGGAAAGAGAGTGGGAAGGGAGGAAAGGAGGGAGAGGGAGAGAAGGGAGAAGGAGAGAGAGAGGGGAGAGAGAAAGACAGAGAGAGGGAGGGAGGGATGGAGGGAGGGAAGGAGAGAGAGAGAGAGAGAATGTGATCAGGACCTAGCACAGAAGGTTACAAACCAGCTTGCTAACACTCAGTACTTTCAAGGAGGATAAAGAGTTCAGTTTTAAAAAGAAAGCAGACAGGCACATGATTCTACTTATGTTGACTCCACGTTTAACAAAGAAGTAGGAATTCTCCGCCGGGCAGTGGTGGCGCATGCCTTTAATCCCAGCACTTGGGAGGCAGAGGCAGGTGGATTTCTGAGTTCAAGGCTAGCCTGGTCTACAGAGTGAGTTCCAGGACAGCTAGGGCTACACAGAGAAACCCTGTCTTGAAAAACAACAACAACAACAAAAGAAGAAGTAGGAATGCAACACGATTGGTGTGAGCTTCCATCCTGCTCAGTCTTCTCTCTCAAACCACTTTATGATCATACGGCATCTTTTCATCCTTGAAACTACCAGTTTTGTACTATGTCTCACATATTTTCTATATTTTATGAGAATCCTGTTGTTAATTAATGATTAATTGTTGACTCATATCTTATGTAAGATCACCCTAAGATTCCATTTTCGCCTGGTGGTTAGGGGCTACGGTAGTTTGTGAATGAGCATGACCCCCACAGGCTCATGCATTTGCATGTTTACTCCTCAGCTTAGAACCAAGAAAGATTAGAGAGTGTAGACAATGTGGCCTTGTTGGAGAAAGTATGTCACTGGGAGTGGGCTTTAAGGTTTCGAAAGTCCATTCCAAGCACAGTGGCTCCCTAAATCCTGCTGCCTACAGCTCAGGACGTAGCTAGCTCTCAGCTACTTGTCCAACGCCACATCAACCTGCCTGCCTCTTACCATTCTTCCTATCATGGTGATAAGGGATAAAATCTCTGAAACTATAAGCAAGTTCCAACTAAATGCTTCTCCATTTATAAGTTACCTTGGTCATGGTGTCTATTCATAGCAGTAGAACACTAAGAGAAGGAACAGTATAGTTTTCACATAAATACAAATACATAGCATACACAAATAAATTAGAAATCTAAGAGTTTAGTCATTATAAACTTACTGTCAAATGTATAGCCAATGAGAACATGTTACTGGCAATGTGACTGAGTTCCAGTGAGTAATAATAAATGAGATATTAATTACAATATGTACTTTAAGGAGACTAGAGAAATGGCTCAGTGGTTAAGAAGACAGGTCATTCTTCCCAAAGTCCAAGATTTGGTTCCCAGGAACCACCTGGAGGTTCAGAATAATGTACAACTCCAGTTCTAACGGATCCAACCCCCTCCTCTGGCATTCTCCTCTGATATCCTGTATGTCATGTGCACCAGGAATGCACATGATGCACAGGTATACATTCATGCAAAACACCTGTACACATAAAATAATGAAATAATTTTTGTGTACACTTAAACATTTGTGAGTAAAGAAGAAGCTGCTGAAGGCCTCTGGGACAGGTTCCAATCAGGGGAGGGGAACAGGAAGAGCAGGTGACTAACTAGCTCTCCCTCCATATTGCTCCATCCTGCTACCATGCTTTTCACAATAAGAAAAAATATTACTTTTGAAATATGAACCGTAAAAACTAAAGGTAATATAAACTTATATAAGTTATAAATAAGTAATATAAACTATGATTTAGTACCTAATTCATAGAGTTTGTTGCAAGGACTATGTATAATAATTCATGCCAAGTGGTAACCATGAAGCTGACAAGTCAAAGGCTTGAAAATGGTGTTCTGTGGCTCAGGCCACTGTCACCCCACTGCTAAGTGTGTGGCTCAGGC